AACGATGTAATAAGGCGCTCTTTGTAGCCCATATGTATACTGCAGCGTTTATGGGTATTCGAGGCTCATTATCTCTCACACTCCCTCTGCTTCTCTCCTCGGGCGTGTGTGTGTGTGTGTGTGTCAGCGTGGTCTTCTGGCCACTTTTTCCCCTGGAAGCCGTCTCCCCACTTTCTTCCTTTCCTCTTATTGCTGTCTTTTTTACACTGTGCGGAATAGGTCTTGTAGTTTAATATTAAACTTCCCACACCCACAAGTACACGTGAGAACGCCATGTCTGCCGAAGAAGTGACTGGCCTGGAGGCTGCCCGCAAGCAGAAGATTCACAACCTGAAGCTGAAGACGGCATGCCTTGAAAACGAGGAGCTGATCCAGGAGCTGCACGTTTCGGACTGGTCCGAGACGCAGCGGCAGAAGCTGCGCGGTGCCCACCTGAAGGCGGAGGAACTTGTCGCGGCCGTCGACGTCGGCACAAAGTGGAACCTGACGGAGGCCTACGACTTGGCGAAGCTGATGCGCGTGTGCGGCCTCGAGATGAGCCAGCGTGAACTGTACCGTCCGGAGGACAAGGCGCAGTTCATGGACATCATTGGTGTGAAGAAGGTGCTGCAGGACTTGAAGCAGAACCGCAACAAGACGCGCGTGGTGAGCTTCACGCAGATGATCGACAACGCCATTGCGAAGATGGAGAAGGTGGAGGAGGAACTTCGCCGGTCGCAGCTGGACGCGACGCAGCTGGCGCAGGTTCCCACACGGACGCTGAAGCAGATCGAGGACATCATGAACGCCACACAGATCCAGAACGCGCTCGCGTCGACGGACGACCAGATCAAGACGCAGCTAGCGCAGCTCGAGAAGACGAACGAGATCCAAAACGTCGCCATGCATGACGGCGAGATGCAGGTCGCCGAGGAGCAGATGTGGACGAAGGTGCAGCTGCAGGAGCGACTGATTGACCTGATCCAGGACAAGTTCCGGCTCATCACCAAATGCGAGGAGGAGAACCAGCCCTTCAAGAAGGTCTATGAGGTGCAGAAGCAGGCGAACCAGGAGACGAGCCAGATGAAGGACGCGAAGCGGCGCCTGAAGCAGCGGTGTGAGACGGACCTGAAGCACATTCACGACGCGATCCAGAAGGCGGACCTGGAGGACGCCGAGGCGATGAAGCGCCAGGCCGCGAACAAGGAGAAGAGCGACAGCTTCGTCCGAGAGAACGAAGAGAAGCAGGAGGAGGCGTGGAACAAGATCCAGGACCTGGAGAGGCAGCTGCAAAAGCTGGGGACGGAGCGCTTCGAGGAGGTTAAGCGCCGCATTGAAGAGATCGACCGCGAGGAGAAGCGGCGCGTGGAGTACTCACAGTTCCTGGAGGTGGCGTCACAGCACAAGAAGCTCCTGGAGCTGACGGTGTACAACTGCGACCTGGCGATCCGGTGCACCGGGCTGGTGGAGGAGCTGGTGTCGGAGGGCTGCGCCGCGGTGAAGGCCCGCCACGACAAGACGGGCCAGGACCTGGCGGCGCTGCGGCTGGAGGTGCACAAGGAGCACCTGGAGTACTTCCGCATGCTGTACCTCACCCTGGGCTCGCTAATCTACAAGAAGGAGAAGCGGATGGAGGAGATTGACCGCAACATCCGCACGACGCACATCCAGCTTGAGTTCTGCGTGGAGACCTTTGACCCGAACGCGAAGCGGCACGCCGACATGAAGAAGGAGCTGTACAAGCTGCGCCAGGGCGTGGAGGAGGAGCTGGCGATGCTGAAGGAGAAGCAGGCAAAGGCGCTGGAGGACTTCAAGGAGTCGGAGGAGGCGCTGGATGCCGCCGGCATCGAGTTCAACCACCCCGTCGACGAGAACAACGAGGAGGTGCTGACGCGGCGCAGCAAGATGGTGGAGTACCGCTCGCATCTGACAAAGCAGGAGGAGGTGAAGATTGCCGCGGAGCGCGAGGAGATCAAGCGGGCACGGCTTTTGCGCACCGGTGGAGGCGGCAGCGGAGAGCAGCCTCGCATCGGCAACAATACCGCCCCCGCCCGTCTCGAGTGAGTGCGAGCCGACCGAAATGTAAATCTCCCACAGCCGTGGGCAAGACGGCCACCGTGTTGTGCTGCTGAAAACGATGTAATAAGGCGCTCTTTGAGCCCATATGTATACTGCAGCGTTTATGGGTATTCGAGGCTCATTATCTCTCACACTCCCTCTGCTTCTCTCCTCGGGCGTGTGTGTGTGTGTGTGTGTCAGCGTGGTCTTCTGGCCACTTTTTCCCCTGGAAGCCGTCTCCCCACTTTCTTCCTTTCCTCTTATTGCTGTCTTTTTTACACTGTGCGGAATAGGTCTTGTAGTTTAATATTAAACTTCCCACACCCACAAGTACACGTGAGAACGCCATGTCTGCCGAAGAAGTGACTGGCCTGGAGGCTGCCC